TAGAACAGGTCCTCGATGCCCACTGAAACTGGCCAACAAACATCATTTTTTAAAAAAAGAAAAAAGTCATTTATGCCAAAATCACTAAAACCCAGGTCATGCTAAACTTTGAGGATTTTCCAGCTATTGTATTGTTTCAACAGGACGAAGGTGACAATGACGTTCAGCACACAGTCTTGCTACTCTAGAGGTTCTCACAGCATAGAGTTCTAGAGACTAAATGAAAAAATCAAACCATAGATTCCTATAACCATCTGCAGCTCAGGGGCATCGCCATGGCCAGACAGGCCATAGGAAGCACAGGGCCTCTGGTCCTCTCGGGTCAGGCACACTGACATCTCCACCTTGATGTGGCTTCTTAAAGGTCGAGATGAGGAAACAACTGAGCCAGGAACTAGAGTCAGCTGTGCAGAGAGGAGTACAGGGGTGTCCAGGGAAGAGGCTCCCAGCCTCCCAAGAGGACCACCTCCAAGAGGGGGGAAGCCCCCGAAGCCCAAGGGTCCCCCTAGGCCTGGGGTCTCACCCCTGTTCCAGGGCAATACTACAGACAGTCGTGACCCGGCCCCGTCCCTGTCGACAGACTGATCAAGGTGGTGGGGATGGGGGCCAGGCTGAAGGGGAAAGGGGGACAGCAATGAGCTTCCTCCAGACCACCTGCCGCAAAAGGGGGTCTGCCGGAACTGGCCCCAGGCCAAAGGCAAAGTATAAAGAAAACATGGAGTATTATAGGATAAGAGCTCAGAAGAGGAAAGGATTTAAAAAGGAGAAAGGCAGAAACAAAGAAAAATAAGGGGAAAATGACAGACTTGAAAGTTAAACCCCTAAGAGCTGGAATGTGCCGCGGGACCCTCTTGTGTGACAACCACAGCCAGCGTGGGCCATGAGAAGCCCCGCGAGGTCAGCACAGTCCTGGCAGATACCTGGGAAGAGGACAAAGAGAGAGGGCAGCCAGGAAACAGGAGCCCCGGGCACACTGCAGATTGTGATGGGCTGGGCTCCGGGCCCCAGTGACAACGACGGCCTCATAAACTCCCCACTTTGGCCAGGCACAGAGTGGTCTGCACCCTAACCCTAAGGGTGCATCAGAAGAGCCCAAGGCATCCAGCTGCACCACACACAGACAACACCCTCCACACAGACAACATCCCCAACACACAGACAACACCCC